CAGGTCCTTGTAGAGCATCTGAACAGGAATGTATAATATTTCTATTGAGTGAGAAGACTGTTGGGTCACTGATAGAATTAAATTTAATCTCTAAATCTTTTTAAAAAAAACAAAAAAAACCATCAATGTTCACTTAATCAACCAGAAAGATTTATTACTTTGATAGGATAAAAATGTTTATTTACATTGAGGAATATGACTTTGTATTTCTTCAGTTGAGAGCAGGGGGAAGGGAGAGTGAAAGGATGAAAAATCCACATGAAGACAATGTAGTTTGGAGTCAGCAATGTTTATAAAATTAATGAATTTAGAAAACTTACTCAATTTGGAAAACATTCACAGTGAAATTAAGATTGCATAATAAACTTTACTAGTCAATGGTCTATCATATCCCATGTAAGTATGCATGTGTGTGTGTGTGGGGGGGATATTGACCTTGCTGCAGGGATGCATCTGTAGTTTATTATCAAATGAACCAATTGATAAATTCAACGTCCAATCCACATTTCAAGGGAGACAACTAGTGAGACTTTAATATTTCAAGACACCGAGAAGTGATGGTGAAGAAACGAATTCAGTACGTTTATTTATATTATTTGTGCTTTTATTTTAGTTTTAATGCTTTTCTGTTGAAGAAAAAAAACCAACCCCCTTAATGGTCATTTTAAGCAAAACAAAATTCTAATACGTTAAATAATCTTAACTAAAGATTAAAAAATTAATTTTTAGAAAGAAAAATACCACTAAGAGATGTTTGCATACCTTTTATTTTATGAAATTTTATAAAAAATGCAAATAAAAACTCACATAGGCTTATAGACCTACATTTCGATGTTCAAACCTAAATGTTTTTTCAATGTAAATAATGAAAGAATTTATCTGAGAAAAATATACCACCATCACTTTACAAAATAAACCATAAATCTTTAAATGCTTCAATTATACATTTCACAAATATGTGAACAAATTTCTGAAAAGAAGTTGAGAGAGAGATCTGTTTCAGATCAATAGTTTTTAAAACAAGAGCAAATTTAGTTTTTCTTCAATGCAAGCAATTTCTTCTCACTTAGGACATTCATTGACTATTAGATTTTACCAAATGTAAAAGACTTAGTGGTACAAGTCTTCAGTTTTAATCTAGAGTTAATCAATTTAGAATTTATTGATTTAAATTGGTTACAATTTATAAACATTTACTTGACAATAAGATCTAATATGTTATCAAATTTAACAATCATGGACACAAAATGCAAAGTTAGATTAAAATAATTGAACTTTGAATTAAGAAAATTTTTGTCTGACTGGAAAATTAAGTGCAAAATTTGTGCTTTTATAAGTGATAAATTTTTTTTTTTTATCTCAGCATGAACATTTCAATGAGGCTCTTTAACCATAACAGCTCACCAAAGAAAAAGAAATCTTATAATGAAACCAGAAAATTTATGTAGCCTGTAGTAGATAATCATAATGGTAATATTAGGCATTTCATTAGAACAGCATTTCTCAATTGGTGCACCAGGTACACTAATGTCTTGAAAGGTAAGCCAGGTGTGCCCCAAATTAACAAGAGACTAATTCATGAATCATTTTTATATTTAAAAATATATTTATTTTTAAGGAGTTAGTAACACCAAGCACATGGCTTCCATGTCTAAGTCAAGTCTGTTATTTTATATTTTAAACTGGATACTAAATTCCTTAATCTTTAAGGGGTGGGGTGGAATGGACAATCCTTTTCCTTTTCTCAAGGTGCTTTAATTATTCTCGGCCTTTTGAAAATAAAAAAAGCATATTCTTCACAAATCCATTTAAATGAAAACTAGTCTGCTAATCTTCTTTGGGATGCCAAAACAAAATTTTATATTCCTAATTTTTCCTTATTAAAATTAAAAGTGCACCCCAATGTGCCCTAAAGTAAAAAAGGTTGAGAAACACTGCCTTAGAAGGAAATGTCTGGAATTCATTGACCAAGTAATCAAGTGACACTTGAAACTGATCTCTTGAAACAACTTTTCAGGAAAATAGGTTTCTCAAGTTTACTTTTATTGCTCTTTTCAATATTGATGGATAGGGGGAGAGGGGGTTTATTCCTTCCTCACCTTATGTTTGTTATTGTATGGAAAGTCAACACCTTGATTGCCATTACTTTCTCTCCAAGTCACATGTTCTATCCATTCACTTGTTGAAAGTCTTCAAATGGTTTCTGTTATTCGGCACAGTTCCTTATGATTCTGTTATGTCAGATCAAGGGGCTCAAAGAAGAGTGGCCCTAAGATATACATGCATCATTTGCTTGAAGCCATTTTTAATCCTTGATCTGAGAATAGGTAATTATATATAAGTAATTACAAAATATTTTTAGTGACTGATGATTGCTCGAGAAAAAAGAAAAAAGAAAAAAAGAAGAAGCTATTCACAGTTGACCCCCCCCACTAAAATACGCCCACTTCATACTTCAATTGTAGTTCCACAATAAATTTAAGATGGCATGTGTTTATTAAGTTTAACTTTTTAATGCCAGCCAAAGATTTTTAACTCTATCTGTTTAGATTTGAAACCATTTGCCTAATTTTATCATAACCATCATGATGAAAGTAGAACATTTCCTTACAGATTTATTATGGAGTGGGGAAGGGAGAGAAAGTAATTAAGATTCAAAATAATATTGTCTAATAATAAATCCATATTTTAATGGGCTTTTTTTTAATTTTTTACAAAATTAAAAGATTTTTTTTAGACTTTTCATTATTTACAACTTTCAAGATTTGTTTTATCTTTTATTTCCAATGAAGACAAATCACTATAGCAAAAATTTAAAGTAAAGCCTTTATGAGATATATAAAAAATATATTTATTATATTCTTCAGAAATTTCACTAATTCAGACTTTCACAGCTAGGACCCCCCCACCACCACCAATTCACATCCACAGAGTCAACTCATCCTCCTTTCCCCCTTTGTATTGCATTGGTAAGAAGGAAGTTCCACTCACACAGAGGACTTCCCAGAACTGTTGCTTTGTGGAAGATTCCTAAAAGAAAGAATCTCCAATCCCTACAATTTGAACCATTTCAAGTCTAGGGACAACCATTATCTATCCCACATGTCCTCATAATATGTGCCTCTTATTCCCTCCCTGTACACCCACTCAACAGCCTAATTCAGTAATCCTCTGCATTGAGGGACTCATGAGCCTTGTATTAGGTGAATAATAGTGTGTGTGTGTGTGTGTATTCTTAGCTTAGTATAAAAATAACGAAAATGAAAAAATTGGCAGTCATTTGTTGAAACCTCCGGATAAGTGGACCAAACGATTACAAAAAGGCCTGTCTACAAAACTCTGTATTTGGGTGCTGAATATAACATCAGTCAGCTAGATGAAACGGTGTGCTATATTTATGGAATAAAGTGCTCAATATCAGGGATAGAGTGTATGTAAATATAAAAGTGAACATTGAAGTCAACACTCAGGCGACAAACTGTTTCATGTTAGACGCAATCATCAGGTGGCCCGATGATTGGGTCTAGCATGAAACAGTGTCGCCTCTGAGTGCTGATTTCAGGGTTCACTTTCAATTATCTTTAGTGGATTAGCTTGTCTATGAAAGTTTCTTTGAGTTCAGTATCAATCTAGACAAGTTCAACTAATATTTCCTTTTTAACTTTTTAGTTAAATCTAGAAACTGCATTGTAGAGTAAAATTACTGAAGAGTAATTACTCACTTTCACCTCCACCACTCCCTCAAAATTGATTTAACATGAAATTTGCTTAAAACATCAAACTATGGAATTCAACATTTGATTATTTTTCTGTTTTATACAACGTTTATATTCACTTAGAGATCATCAGAAAATAAAGGAATTTTTGTGAATGTTCAGATATGTGGACTGAGAAGGGAGGGAGGCTTCATTAATTTTCCTGTTGAGAAAAATAAAAATATAAAAAATAAAGAAAGAATTCATCAAGATAGAGATCTATAAAAAATTATAATCAACAGTTTTTATGTGAAAATATGAGGAAAGTAATTTATGGACATTGGACCAATTGGTGTGGAATTGTGAAGCAAAAATTTTCATTAAGTGTATCAGCAGCCCCTTGAAGAAGAGACACGAGACAGACAAAAAGGAAAATCCAAATAAAGAGAGAATTACATTTTCTACATATAAAAAGTCTTTGGGAATGCAAAGGTTTGAAAATGCAGCTAAAACCTTATCTTAACAGTTTTTGTTATATCATCATCATTATTAAACACAAAGAAACTGAATGATGAATCGGGGAAAAAAAAAAAAAAATGAAGGAAAATTTAATGGTGACAGATTAGATTTGCTTTCAAAATTTATCCAAAAAGAAAGTTGAAATTGTGGCTTTGAAAATTCTAGTTGCATCTCAGAATTTCAGATTGTTACCATATCTAACAATTTTCATTATAGTTGGGTGTCAGTCGTGTTTTTTCTTTGGTCATTAAAGAGAAATGTTGTTCATTAAAGTGAATGTTAAATGACAAATTTATTAAAAAAGTTCTAAATTGATGAGTTTTATCTACAAGCAAGATGAGCAAAGAGAAAGGATGAAAATAAAAAAGTAATGAAGTTTTGCATATTTTCAAATAAACATCAAGAGAATGTATAGCATTTTTTTATTATTGTTGTAAGGAAAAAAAAAATCTTATAAAAAAAAAAAAAACGAATGAGTTTTTGTGAGGCTGGCAGTACCATCCAGATCTCTTATCATCAATGGCATACAACAAGCTTCAGCAAGCTGGATAGATGAAAGGTGAAGAAAAAAGTTCATATTTCCAATTCCCGAATTTGTACAATTTTCCCTTCCCCAATTTGACCCACCCTATATTCCACAGTGACAAAAGTAAATGAGAAGCAGCAGCAGCAGTAGCAATGGTGGAAGGGTTATCAACTGCCTATGTGTCGCTCCCCTGTCCAGTAATCCACCCAACCTGGCAAAGTTAGGTGACATTGCAATGCATGTAAGTTAGAGAACTACTGCTATATATACATTTGTTCACTGGCCAAACTGTCCATGAATGGTCGCACAAGTCCACGAGTTGCAAAGTTAAAGATCAAACCAAATGTGATGGAGATTGGTAATGCAGGCAGTGCCTTGCGGAAAATGGCCAACAACAGCAAAGTGAAACACAATCCCTATAAAAGAAAAAAAAATGTCAAAGAAACAGCAGAACTATATATATATATATATATATAAAAATTTCTCAGAATTAACCTGTAGAAAAAGACTATGTATAAAGGAAAAAAGACAATAGGAAAACTGTAGTTTTTAGCCAACACATTTCATAAAATATGAACTTTTCAAGGCAAAAAAACAAAATGAATTTATTGAAACAAAGAATCTATAAACAACAAACAAAATGTCATTAGCAACTAGAAGAATTTAGAAATGCTATTGTATATTCATATGGACAACTAAAAAATTATGTCAATTTTATGTTTGAAGAGAATATTTTCACATGTAGAAATATTGTTCGTATTGCTGCGTTGATGAATTCAATATACAATAGCTCAGTTACAAATAAAAGCAACTATTTATTATAGCAGTACATATAAGTAATATTTCTGTGTTATTTTTTGAAAGGATTTTTTAACTGACACTATTTCTTATGACAATAAACGTTATTTTTAGTTGGTAAATGTATTTGTGTTGCTATCCGTTTTTTTATTTTATTTTCTTAAACTGCAAAATTAATAACAACTGGCCTAAGTTCTACTAAAGAAAAATTGTGCCTCCGAAAGGAATTGAACTTGCATCCCTTTTTTTGATCAGGGAAACCAGTTTTGGGACTAAAGTGTGCTTCTACTGGTTAAAACAGTGATAGCAACTCAAACATGAGTACCCACTAAAAATAATGTTTATAGTAATAAGAAATATTTCTGTGTATAAATTTTATAAGGAAACAATAAAGAAATAACCAAAATTTCTTGAATGCCTGCTTGTTTACATTTTATTCATTTGGCAACAAGACAAAATTATTTGGATATAGATTTCCCTAAGATCCACTTAAAAGTAAAATAAACAAAAATTTTGCCTTTCTTTTAACCGAAATATTTTCCAATAATTGGGAGGGGAGGCAATCCATTGAAGAATATTTACATCTAAGGCCGAATCTATATTAAATGAAAACAATGTACATGTGCATTTTATATATTTATTGAATTAAGTCAATTTTAATCACTGCCTTGATAGATTATTGTAGAAACCAATGTGTTAATTTCACAAACCATTTTCGTGAGTTTTTCCTAACTAGGTGCTAGGTTATATTTAATATAATATTGTATCTAAGTTTATAGTCCCAAAATAAATTTTTAAGAAAAGTTAAACAAAGTGTACCATTATTTATGTAGCCATAAGTCTTTAATATTTCTTTTGGTTTGAGGTTTTAGTGCTATGAAACAGAAACATTTCATTGGTTGGTTGATTTTGTTTAGCAGCATATCAATCTCTATGGGTTATTTAATGCTGAAATCTAAATATTTCGAGCACAATTTTATAGCTTCAACTAAATATATTTTGAACACAATTGTATGCTTTCAATTACAGATAAGATGTATTATTGGTAATTTTTACTATAAAAATGTATTGCTGGTATTTTGTTTTTAATATAAAAAAAGTATTACTGGTATTTTTTTTTAAATATAAAATATATTGCTTATATTGGTACTATAAAAACGTATTTTTATACTTTCATAGTGTTGTTTGGGGGAGGGTCACTATTTTCCCATAGCAGAGTGGACCTGGGAACAAAACTCAATTAAGAGGTGGTTCCATGCTTCTCAAAACCTCCAATCTCCCAATCAAAGGCCTTGCTGCCGGATGTAGTTTATCATCATACCTAAGACTATGAAACATTTGGTTTGAAATTGTTAAAAAAAAAAAACTGAAATGTCTTTTTGAAATGATGACAGGCTGCATTTTCTAATGACCAACAAACAGTTTTAAATTGGTTTTGTAAAAGTTAATTTTTATGAGAATATTAACAACTTTAAAGAGGAGTATTTTTCAGAATTATTTTCAAATCAAAAGGCTGAGAATAATGATATACAATTCACTTCTTGGGTATTTTTAAAAGAAAGAGAAATCAAAAAACTTACAATCAAAATAGCTACAAAACAGGCCAATGTTGTATTCCAGTCTCCATATGAAGAAGCTTTACCAACCAATACACCATAGAAAATAAAATCACCTAGACCAAGTTTAACACCTCCTATAAAGGTAAATAAAAACAGAAACAAATTAGTTATTGAATATATTTTTTTTATATTTATCTCTAAAACAAGCATTGCTTTTTAAACTAGAAAAAGAAAAAAAAAAGAAAAAACAGAAGGGAGAGAATTATGTCTACTTAAATATTTCCACAAAGAACAAAGGTATTCTTCCTAAAGATGAAATTTTAAGAAAGTTCTTTCAAATTCCCATTATTAAAATCTCAGATAAAATATTTAACAACTTACTTTCTTCTTCTTCCTCTTCAGTAGAAACATGGGAAGGCCTAGTTCGATGTGCAGGTGATGCATGACCAGTCTCTGCTGATGGACCTTTCTCTAGTTCTCCCAAGGCAGCTTGTGCTCTGCGGGCAGTCTGAGAATCAACACTATTTGAAGAGTTATACTGATTAAAATTGTGAACATTAGTGTAGAGGTCTTCCCGTATATTGTTAGGATTCTCATTTTCAGCAGCATCACTTCCACCAGAAGCAGCAGCAGCAGCAGCAGCAGCATTGTGATTCACAGCTGAGAAGAATGAAAACATTAACAAATTTCAAAAGGAATTTAGCAAACAGAATACATTTGTTGTAGTCGAATTGTTTCATTCTTTCATTCATTGTTTTGTCAAAGATTTTCTGAGATAATGAGGATAAATTTATTTCATTTTTGTTATATGATAGTCACTTGAAAGATTGTTGTTTTTTTCAAATGCCATATATTTCCGCTTATAAGATGACCTTTAAATCCCAAAAATCACTCTTAAAAATTGGGGCTCATCTTATACAATTCTAAAAAAGAAACCTTAAATTCTGAGTGATGTTTGTCAGTAGGCTAAGCTCGACCTTGGTGTGATAACCAATAATGTAGATGAAAAAATTCACATTATCAAATAAACTGATAATAAAAATAATAAAACCATTTCTATCTTGTATATTACTGGAATAACTTCATAATAAATTGCCTATTTGAAGAATAATTCTGCATCAATGAAATCAACTTGTGTCCATTCAAGCTCAGCTGAGAAAATGTAAGCATTGAGTTATGATTGTGTTCACAGCAACCTTCATCTTTTGCTAAACTTTCAATAATCATCATTAATTACGGCAATAATAACATTGAGGATAACATAATATTCATTTCTCATTAAAAATTCATTATCATTTTGGTGTCAAATAATAACACAATTTAGGATTACATACAACCTTCATTTTTCAAATAAAAATCCTTTTATAGTAGTTGCATTTAAAACTTTAATTTTCTAGCAGCAGCACAGTTGTTTGATTCCTTGTCTACTTCAAAAACTTTCAATTTAAACTTTGCTTCATATTTTCTCCGTTTTGCTGGTTGTTCTATGATTGATATGGGTTTAAGAGATCATGTGATGAAACATAAAAAAAACAAGGGTTTCCCTTTTAGGGGACTCATGTAGGAAAAACACGATATAGATATTATTTTGTTTATTTTGAATACAGTAGTAACAATATTTCCAATAACATCATTTTTATATAATCAATAAACAGTCATTTTATATTACAGGTATAAGATAAATTCGTGAAAATTTGCTATATTTTTTTTACCTTGTCTTATCTAAAGGTTGCCTTATACGTGGAAATATACAGTATTTATTTTTATTGTGTCGATTGAAATGTTTAGATAAGACTTAAATTGCTAGGTTTTTAAATTGACATTAACAAGTTAATAAATGATCAATAAAAAAGTTAGTTTATATATTTTTTACCTGGTGAAGAGTTAACAACTGTGGTAATTGTTGATGTGCTGTTTGTCCCAGAGTCATTTCGAGAACCGGCTGGGGAGTCATCTGCCATGGTAGCTATTTGCCAAATCATGGTGGCTACAGAGAATGAAGCAAAAGAAAAAAGAAGAAAGTGTCACATTGCAATTGTTTAGAAGATAAAGTTTACTGGATTTTAATTGTGATTGTTTGTATAAAGAAAAGAGAAGCTTTTTCTGTTGAGCATAATTATATATAAAAAAATGTCTTCAATATCCCTGAACATTTAAAATCAAAGAAGAAAAATCAAAGAAGAAAAATCAACCAAAAATGAACAAGATATTACCTGAATGGAACAAGTGTTATAGATAGTAGTTATTTACCCCATCTCTCCACTGAGATATGCTGTGACACAAGGTCTGGTTTAATGTGGGGAACCCAAGTGCATACACCCAGGCCAGAGCCAAAAATTGCCCAGAACCTGTAATTGTCGGTTGTGCTGGCATCAATATGGCTACTGATCCCGCATCTCAAGTGCAATGAGCTGTTCCCCAGCACTGGGCACCTCTCAGTATTTTTATGGATAGTAAAGTGTCAGAATCAAAAGTCTGTAAACATTTTGAAAATAAACTTGTTAACAGGAAGTGACCTCTTTGTATGATTAGGTCTCCAATAGAGATTTTGAGGTTAAAACATGACATTAATTAACATAAAAAAGTGGAAAAAGAAAAAAATGAAAAATATTAGGCCATCTTAGAAGAATGTTGCAAACTTCATGACAACAACTTTTGTTGAAATGGAGATAATCATTTCTAAAACTTGACCAGATCATCTCACAAGTTACTATCCACAAAAGAATGTAATAGTGGGGGTTGTATGGGTGATACATTTAGCTAAATATGTTAGTTATGTGCATGTAAATAAGGAAATACTTACAGGAATATATCAAAGCAGGAAAGATGTCTTCATTTCTGCGTTGTGCAGTTTCTACCAGAACCCGAAGAGGACCTTTCGGACACAGTACAGCAACAAGATCTATTCACACATAAATAATGCAGATCAGTTTGTTTAACAGAAGAAAATTATGAGAGAAAAAAAATATTAATGAATTGCTATATTTAAAAAAAAAAAAATCAGCAAGTTCAATTTAGCTCCTTTTTTTTTTTTTTTGAAGAGAGGAGCATTGCTGAATCAACATCAAAACTTCTAAAAATCATTCCATCAAGCATAGTACATCTTTGAAATGTCAATAACATATCAAGGAATTGCAAAATTTGTTTAGGCCTTAAAATTTTGAAATTAAGGAAGAGCTTTTGTATTTTTATTAAAGTATGTAAAAATACATTAAAATTTAACAAGTATTGGTCTTTTATGTTTTAAATAACACTCTCACTGCTGCATCATTATAACATTGTTGCCTGGCTATGCTGGCTCATTTTGGGAAAATAGAAAATGTGCATAAATTAAAAATAATAATATGTAAGTTTTTAGGCCTGGAAAAATTTGTCACCCATATTTTTGTATTAAAATGGAGATCTGAAGAATTAGGACCAAAATCTTCGTCTTAAAGAAATAAATTATAATCCCATGAACCCTTAAAGTTAGAAGTTTCTTAATATAATTAATATTTGATCTGTTTTTACATTGAGCTCTTTGGATTACATCCTCCTTGGAATTATCCATACGGATTACCAAATAACTTCATTATATATATATATATCATTTGGTATACCCCTCTGTTCAACCAAATGGTTAGTATTAAGCTAGGACAGAAATTCCTAGCTTTAATTGAAAAACACTTTCCTACCAATAGTAGACTTAGTAAAATATTTAATAAAAACACCCTAAAATTAAGTTACAGCTGCACTGAAAATCTAGAAAGTATAATAAAAAAACACAATAATAAAATCCTGAATAAACCCCCATGCTAGAATAGTATTAATAAAAACCCTACACTTAAATTAGACCAAAATAGTGAAAAATTATGTGATTGTAGAAACCCAGAAGACTGCCCATTGGAAAATAAATGCCGTGTAAAATCTGTGGTAAACCAATGTACTATCTCATCCATTGAGAGTCCTAATACTAATATGATATATATTGGGTCTACGAAGAATGAATTTAAAACCAGATGGAGGCAGCATAAGTGCTCCTTCAACAATATAAATAAAAGAAATCAGACATCTCTAAATATTTTTGGCATTTGAAGGAAATGAATAAAACACCAAAAGTAAAATGGAAAATTATAAACAAAACTAGAACTTGTAAAACTTGGGATGACCCATGCCCTTTATGCCTACATGAAAAACTACACATTATCAAGTTTCTAAATAATAAAAATCTATTAAACAATAGACATGAGTTAACGGCTTTTCACTGACATCATCAAATTTTCGTATTGAATAATTAGCATAAAAACAAACAAACAATAAAATAATTTTTAAATTCCATAGTCTAAATAAATAGTTTAAATGCCATAAAAAAAAAGATAACCCTTTATGAAGTCATCAAAAAAACAAATGTTAGCGACTTATGACAGTTTTTTTTATATACACAAAACCCTTTCAGAAAAAAATAAAAAATAAAATAAAAAATAAATAAATCTCCATAGACACTTAATCAGACTAGACGATGTCATCTTCCACTTTAAATTTAGACACCCCTAACCTTACCCTGACTTGACGTCTTTGAATGTAACTGAGATATATATACAAATTATTAAACCCTTATGCCCCTTTTCTTTAAACAATTGCTCTAGCCATTACCATAGTAAATTTTAATTTCAATAATGATTATGCTTATAAAACGTGTAAATTTCAGGAATAAGTTATTCCAAAAAAAATTTTGCTTGAAGATGGAACAGAGCTTGGTACTTTAATTCAAATAATTATATTGAAGTTTTCGGCTCTTGTTTTGAAACATGAGAACTCTTATGTAGCGTTGGAATCATATTTTTAAATAAATAATTATATAATATATATATATATATATATATATATATATATATATATATATAGTGGGGTGGGCAAAAACAAATATTTGTACACATACAGATTTTTAATTTATTGTATTTCCAACTACTGAATAAACATACTTTTCATATAATTAATTCTACGCAGATGCATAACTAAATATGCAGAGAAAACAAAAAAAAGAAAAAAAAGAAAAAAAAGAAAAATAGATTTAATAGAAATAAATACTATTTAATAATACCAGGAAGTCTCCTTCCTGACAAATCAACCATGGTGAGATTTGAACCTGGTCTCATGGTCAGAATGCAGACATTCTAACTACTTGGCCACATGTGAGAGTGAGAGAGAGAGTATAAGTTTCATAAAGACATTTTACTTATGCACACACAAGTTTTATTGAAGTTGACTGACAAGGTACCGTGATTAAGTTTTTTTGTTTTTTTTGCTTGTATTCGTACAAATGATTTCTTTTGTAACAGTGTGTGTATGAATTGTCCAAATGATCTGTGGATCCAAGCACTTTTGGTTAATCTATTAAGCATTATCAAGGATTTTTGTTTTGTTTGAATATGTAGACAGATAAAAAAAAAAAAATCCTTGATAATGCTTAATAGATTAACCAAAAGTGCTTGGATCCACAGATCATTTGGACAATTCATACACACAATTGCAAAAAGAAATCAATTGTATGAATGCAAGAAAAAAATAAATAAATAAAAAGTTTAATTATAGTGCTGTGTCAGTTGTCTTCAATGAAACTTGTATAAAAGAAGGATTGCTGCCGAAACACACACACACGTGTGTGTATGTGCCTATCAACAACCAACAATGTATATTTTATAAAGATAAATATATCCACAACAAATATTAAAAAGTAAAATATAAAGAATAAAAATAACTATTAAAAAGGTTTTTTAAAAACAATCTCTTTTATCCATTAAAAAAATAATATTAAACTATCAACTGTAACTTCCCTGTATGACAATCACTAAATTTTACAGGGTAAAATGAATTTGAAAAAAATTACTATTTAGAAAGAAAAATTCAAAGGTTGGTTGTTTTTATACATGTTTACCTTATTTCAATATTTTTTCTTCCTTATACCAAAACCTTCAGCAGATTCAAACTCAAAGTCCTGACACATTAATGAGGAAAAGAAAGCATTTATCGAAACAAGTTCTCACTCTAATTAGCACAAAAGTCAATTAAGAAGACAAGTGTTGAGTAAATTCAAAATTCTTACCCCAAAAGACCATGATTCCAAGAACAGCCCAAGTTGTCCAATCAGGAAGATATTTAATAAAGATGAGAGCCATCAAGGCACTAATCATAAGGAGGTAGGCCTGTTGAAGTAACAATGGACCTTTCCAGTGAATGCAAATCATGCCAATAACACCAAAGTTCCACATCAAAATAGCTACTGTAATGTAATCCATTGGAACATTGTATGCTTTTAAAACTTCTCTGAAAAAGATAAAAAAAAAAAAAGGGGTGGAGTGCAATAAAAGAAAGGAAAGTACAACTTACTAAACATTGCCAAAAAAACATTTGGATGATGAAAGTTTTGCAAATTAAATTTTAATCTATAAAGAACATTTTTAAGATAAAAGTTTTACCCTTTGATGTTGGTACATAACTTTCCTTTTATGAACCAATTAACAAAAAAGGAAAAGAAAAAAGGGGTTTATGAAAACTGGGTATCAGAAATGGGGTCTCAGATCCCAACAGCAATTCTACTTTCAATGTTTACATATTTCAGCTTAAATGCTGATGTATAATTAAATAATACCATGACAGTTATAACTGTCAACCTATATTTATCAACATTATTGCTTACATTTTACAATTGAAAGCAAGTTTTAATACATTTTAGTTAAAAGAGAATATATTGACATTAAAAGTTTAAGCAATCATGAATATATTTGAGTTCACAATCTAATAGTGTTTCACGTTCTTGCTGTCAATTTTTAATAAAAAATTGTATGACTCCAGATGCTCTACTTATTTTAGTGAATTTATTTGGCAAAAGCAAATGAAAGAAATGCTACGAAAATACAGGTTTTTCAAATTTATAATTAGTTATTCATCGTTATATGTTTATTAACATTTTCATATTCTATAGTTCAGACATTTTTACATATTTATGAATAAAAAAAAATGTTTTCATATTTATTTCTTAATAAATAAGGTAAATAACAACTATTGCATTGTAGTTGATTCATATCCTTTATAATGTTATAAATGTTTGTAAGATGTATAATAGTATCTGAAAACAAACATTGTGATGATGAGGCAAAGTGGAAAAGTCTGTTGGTTTCAGCTTTTTCAGGTCAGAATGAAAGATAAAACTGTGTGTAAGGAAAATGCATTGGGGTTTTTAAGGATAAGAGGACCCATAAATTAAAGTACCTTATCAGATCCAATGACCAGAAAGTGGTTGTTTGAAACAAACACTTTCTGGTTTATGGCCCCTCTTATCCTCTTAAATCCCAACATATTTTCCTTACACACAGTTTTGTCTTTCATTCTGACCTGAAGAAGCCAAAACTGACATCAACGAAATGAGTCATTTCTTGTCTTGTTATCTCCAATCTTATAAATATAAAATTATTCTTGTAAATAAACAATCTAATAAATAAAAAATGTGTAACATTTTTGTTATGAATTCTCAAAAAAAAAAAATGTATGAATCCAGTTTATATGTCTGGCTTTTATTAAATTTCTAAAAAATAGCTTTTTGAAAAAATAAAAATTGCCAATGGAGTATACAGTAATGACAGAAAAATAGTCCTTTTGTCAACTTTTTTTGTGGATATAATTGTTAAACTTTGTCAAGAATGGAATCAGTGAACAGGGTTCAAATTTCAGTGCAGGATTTAGATTCATTATTTTTTGTTTTAATGAAAAAATTAAGGCATAAATCTATTTCTCCCTCTGCCATGATTTAGATATTTTGGCATGTTCATTAAAGCAGCAGCCAAACATCATTATCTATGCTGCCAACTGTGACAAAAAGCAATTATTCTATGTCGAGGACAGTAAAGGTAGATAGAGAAAAATGATCCTCACCCTAAGTACATGTAGGAGAACATGAACAGCAGCAAAAGTGATGACATTATCAGCCAACCATGAATGATCTGTAAATAACAATGACATGTCTGATAATCTCCTTTTTACAAATCTTTTTAGATGCCAAAGTCATACAATCTTCAGCTTTCACATTTATTTCTTCAAAACAATACATTGAAAGAACAACAACATAGTATAATACATCTTTATCTTTTGTCATTCAAAAATCATTGCCAATAATTTGTTAGACAAAGACATTTTATCAACACTACTTTGGACTGTCAAAATTCTAGTGGTTTCTAGTAGAAAGAAAAAAGCCAGAAAAAGAAAGAAAAAAGCCAGAAAAAGAAAGAAAAATAACAAAGAAAAAGCCAGAAAAATAAAGAAAGACACAAAAGAAAGAAAAATAAAGAAAGAGACAAAAGAAAGGAAAAAGAGAAAAGAAAAAAAGGAAAAAAAAAAAAAAAAGGAAAAGGAAAAGAGAAAGGAAAAAGAGAAAGGAAAAGAGAAAAGAAAAAGAGAAAGGAAAAGAAAAGAAAAAGAGAAAGGAAAAGAGAAAAGAAAAAGAGAAAAGAAAAAGAAAAGGAAAAGAAAAAAGAGAAAGGAAAAAGAGAAAAGAAAAAGAGAAAGAAAAAGAAAAAAAAAAGAGAAAGGAAAAAGAGAAAAGAAAAAAGAGAAAGGAAAAAGAGAAAAGAAAAAAGAGAAAGGAAAAGAGAAAAGAAAAGAGAAAAGGAAAAGAGAAAAGGAAAAGAGAAAGGAAAAGAGAAAGGAAAAGAGAAAGGAAAAAAGAGAAAGGAAAAAGAGAAAGGAAAAGAGAAAGGAAAAGAGAAAGGAAAAAGAGAAAGGAAAAGAGAAAGGAAAAAGAGAAAGGAAAAAAGAAAAGGAAAAAAAAAAAGGAAAAAGAGAAAGGAAAAAGAGAAAGGAAAAAAGAGAAAGGAAAAAAGAAAAAAAAAAGAAAAGGAAAAAAAGAGAAAAATGAAAAGAGAAAAGAAAAAGAGAAAGGAAAAAGAGAAAAGAAAAAGAGAAAAGAAAAAGAAAAAATGAAAAAAAGAGAAAAAGAAAAGAAAAAAATGAAAAAGAGGAAAGAAAAAAATGAAAAAGAAAAAAAAATGAAAAAGAGGAAAAAAAAAAAAAAAAAAAAAAGAAAAAAAAAAAAAAAAAAAAGGGGGGAAAAAAAGAAAAAAAATGAAAAAAAAAAAAAAAAAAAAAAAAAAAAGGGAAAAAAAAAAAGAAAAAATGAAAAAGAGGAAAGAAAAGGAGAAAATAAAAAGACAAAAGAAGAAAAGGAAAAAAGAAGGAAAAAAAAAAAAAAATAAATAAATAAATAAATAAAAAAAATGAATGAGTGATCTGAGTAAATCCCAGAGGGATGAAACTCTGGAGTTGAGATGCTGAATGCAACATCAATTAGCTAAGTGATAAACCTTTTACTCATATATATATATATATATATATATAACAAAAACGTAGTACTGCTGCCATATTAGGGCTGGAACTGCCCAATCCTCACTTTCTAGTCTAGATAGAATTCAGAAGCGTCTTTACAGCATTTTCAACTTTAGAACCCCTAAATGTCACAAGCCTGTCACTAGTCTATTGTAAATGTTTTGATGATCCTTAGTTCTTCCTGTTCTGACATTCACAGCCGAGATCAGCGATGCCACGTACACAGGATCGAATCATCCCCATTCCCTTTGTATTCTAATGGTAAAAAGGAAGTTCGATTTGGACAGCTTCTTTCCAAGAACTGCTACTTTATGGAACATTATCCTGAGAGGATTCTTCCTCAATCGCTATGTTCTTAACCTCTTCAAGTCTTCAGTTAACTGTTTATCCCTCCTCTTACATGCATCAACCCACTTCTACCTTGAGTGGCTCACAGACTTCGAACATTTAAAAAAAAAAAGAAAAGTTTTTTTATGTACTGGGCCTAAAGTAGAGGTTGTCAAATGTTTTTGAACCTTAAGACTCGCAGATGTTGGCAATTAAAATGTATGAAGTTAAGAAATTTGGATCAAGTTCAAAATTTCTCCTCTACCCAATACATGAAATAATCCCAATGAATCAAGCAAATAATATATTAAGTACACCAAGCCTAAATACAACTGATGCTATGGAACAGAAGTGCATAACCATTACTAATATCCAATTAATAAAGTATTGTATACAAAGAAGATGGTTAAAATTTTCTTTTATCTGCACAGAAAAATACACCATACATGTATACTAAATAAAATTTAGCTCAGTGTCATTTATACACCGACCCCCATTCAATCTCTTGACCACCCCGAAACTACTCACTGACTGCTAGGGTCGCTCAAACTTGGTTTAAAGTAACTTGGCATAAAATTGGACTTAAGTAGTATTTCTTCAGCACCTTAGAGTCCAATATATTAACCAACGTTTAACAACAATTGCTACTTAATGAGCCACTTTTATTTTACAGCCTAAACAGAGAAATCATAAACTTCCTTTTGACTAATTAGTAAATGACTGATTTTTGATTGGTATGTACCAAATACCTTTACTAACACATCTCACATAAGAGCTATTTCTACAATTCTATATAAAGATAATAATTTACTAATTTTAATGAAAGTGAAAATAACATTTGCACTTTCTAAGAAAGCATTTGTTGGTAGGAGGTTCAATGTGTCTAAAACCCTCTTGAAGTTTTGCCTGAACTTTTTAGTTAAAATATTGATGTGTAAAACTGAAATTCAACAAAGATTCATTTTGAGCTCTTTATCATAATGCAGTTCTAATGAAATGTTTTAAGAAAGTAAGAATAATAAGTAAGAGAATAAATAGAAGATGATTCAATCTGTGGCCTGTTTTTTTTTTTAAATGGAAAATTTTAAATTGAAAAATAGAATGAGCTAATGTCCAAGTGAATTTAAAAGTTTCATTAACAGGTTAAGTCAAAATTGGTTTTCGTTTATTTTAAATTGTCTATAATCATGAAACATAATATTAGAAGACAATGTAGCCATTGAGTTTGGACCACATATGACATATTTAGTACATGAGCCTGGCAATACATTAATATTTAAATTTTTTTATTGGTGGTTGCATTTTGGTAACATTGATCAAAGAACAACAAAGTACTGGCTAAGTGTTGTGGTAGGATCCACCTAATTTGCATAGTGGAGTACCGACCATATAAATATGGTTGGTACCGGGAAGACGGGGGTAGGAATCAAGAGATTCAATCCAGAGACTCTGCCTGACTGCGACTAAGTCAACACATTCTCCAGGAATGGTCTTCCCAAGAATATACAAAAGACTATATGTAAATATTGTGTACTTTTCTTGTTTCAATACATTTTGTTCTAAGTACATTTTGTGTTGTATTATTATTCCATGCATTAGTCAAGTTTCAACACTAAGTTAGTTGTTTTAATTGAACAGTAAAAAAAAAAAAAAAAAAAAAACATTTACATTAACCAAATCAGTTAATACTATATAATTTTTTTTATTTCTTTTTAGTTTGATAAAAATGGAAGATTTCTTTTTTTAATGAGAGTGCAGTACTTACTTTATAACATCTATATTTATAGAGGAGAAGCAGAAAGACTGTCATCACAGCAATAATTCCCAAAAGAATAAAAGCATTTGCAAAAGACTGCCATGCTTTGGTTCCAGAATCTTCTGTTTGTTCATGGAATGGTGTGTAGATGCTAAAATATAAAACAAAATGAAATGAAGATAAAGTTACAAATAATACAAGACAAGCAATATTGCACATTTGATTAAAATAGTTCTTTGAATAAAAAAAAAAACAACAAAGAATAACATTAACATTTTCTGTTAAAGTCGCAAGAAAAAAATATTATTGACATTTCCTATAGAATTAATTTTATTCTTGCTGGATAAAAAGAAGTCACAAGAGAAAAAAAACTTATGTATATTATTAATATTTGATTAACATTCAAGACTGATTGATTTGTTTTTTTATGGCTCATCAACCTTTTGCAGGTTATATAAAGCCATGAGATGAGGATTGACTGATACAAGTCCTACTAATTAATCCATAGCTGGAGGATAAGAGGGTATCTGTGCACAAGTGAATATAATGAACCTAACTGGAATTGGAACTTGGCTTTCTGATTTTCAATTCTGAGCTGTTATCCATTACACCACCTGCACATCCAAGCATACAGCAGCTGGTATTCCTAATCTAGGTACTGACCAGGTTCAACATTGCTTAACTTTGGTGAATGTATAAGAACCAGTGTTTTCAAAGTGATATGGCCATAAGCCTTAAGAAACAAGAAAGCAGATTCCATATAGAAGGAAAATGTTAAGAAAGAAAACTAAGTGGAACTGAAATACTACAAACATTAGAAACAGGGGGAAAAATGAGCCTATCTAATATAAGTTATATTGTAATTGTGCAAGCTGGTAGACAAATAAATGTTATATGAGAATCAGCAATTGGGAAAGCAAGACATTTTTATTCTAATTATATTTAGTCTGTATTTTATCTGTGACTTGTGGGTTGGATTCTGAAGCAAAGGTTCTTAAAAGGATTTTGCACTTGGAGTTAGTTTTAATATTTTACTCAGATTGTTTTAAGCAACATTCATTACTATAACAGTTTGACTTCTCTGGATGGAGGAGGAATTAAAAAAGAAAAGAAAAAGAAAGAGAGAATCTATTCTTATATCAATTTTGAGGTACAGAAAAGAAATCAATGCCAGTGTTTTATTAAGATCAGTTTAATGTTATATATATATATATATATATATATATATAATTGTAACCTCTGTCTATCTGTGTTTGTTATTGAACTCCTAGGGTTTTGGTGATAGACCCCCATAACCATATACATTCTGAAGTTACATTAACCAGGGTACTTGGATAAGTATATTTCATTTTGATTAAAGGGGGCCCCTGAAAATTATTTGATTTAAATTTTGAACAAGGGAATGACTCCTATCCAAAATATAGAAGGAGAAACCAGAAGGTGGAGGTCACATCGGCAAGATCAAAATGAGACAATATGGACATCAAGTTGAGCAAGGAATCACCAATCAGTGGGTAGTGCCTTACAATACATATTTGTTATGAGAATTCAACTGTCATATCAATGTTGAAATCTGCTCATCAATTCATTTAATCAAGTATTGCATCAAATACATATCAAAGGGGTCAGATCAAGCTGTTTTTGCACAAACCCCCCACTAAAAAGTTTTTTCCTTTTGATTTAAATTGGAACAAAGGAATGATTCCTATCCAAAATATAGAAGGAGAAAACCAGAAAATGGAGGTCACATTTGCAAGATCATTGAGTAGTATTGAAATGCATCATTTTTCTCCACAAATTATAACAATGATTTAAAATCATCATTTTCTTACAAAAAAATGTGTGACATGCAGCAAAGTGCCGGTAATTTGGCTAGTTGAATAAGTGCCAAGAAATGTGCCTGATGAGACACAGATACAAGAAATTATAAGTTTAATTCTTAGAGAAAGCTGCTGTTAACTACAAAAGAAGAGGAGACAGAAAAAAGTATAAAACTAAAATAAATGACACCTACCAAGCAGAAAATACTTGGGGGAACTTTTGATACATTATCTATAGTAATTCATGCACATTTTGGTAAACTATAATTTTTTAGTACCTCTACAAAAGCTGATTTTTTTTTATGTTGATATGAACTATGAACTTAATTCTATTAAAAAAAAAATAAAAATTGGTTGACTTGTTTTTAACAGCTTGTCTACCTTTTGCAGGTTATTTAAAGCCAGAAAATATTTTTAGATTATAAGAATTTTTTTTTTTTTTTGGATAATGATTTATTGATTCCAGACCAACTAATTAACCATAGCTGGAGGGAGAAGAGGTGGATTCATACCTTTCCCAAGAGTATCTGCATATAAGTGAATATAATGAATGTGACTGGAATTGTAACTTGGCTCTCTAATTTCAAATACAGAGCTGTTATCCATTACACCACCTGCACATCCAAGTGTACAGCAATTGCTATTCTTAAGCAGTCAACCAGGCTCAATGTTGCTTAATTTTGGTGCTCTTATAAAAACCAGTGTTTCATTGTGATATGGCCATAAGCCTTGCATATATTGAACTGTCTAAGTCTGCTTTAGGAATTGTCTCTTTAACAAAATTTTATATATATATATATATATATATAAAATTCACACATATAAAATGCAATGTGTGTTTGCAACATTTTTCATATACTGCTTTCCTCACTGATCCTAGGCAGAAGTACCGATTTTTATGTAAATAATCTCATCATTTCAATAGGCATGATAATAATTACAATATAAATCTAACACCTTCTTGCTTTTATCTACATGGTCTACTTATAGAAGAGTAATATTTTGATAGTGTATAGAAAAAAATGTCAGATTTTATTATGCAAGGTAATGTTTTCATAATCAAATTGGTAATAATCAACCAGCCATTGTTGGTAATATTTTCAAGAAATACTTATAGCAATACAACATCTAAGTTTCAGCTTACATCTATCCATATTAATTTTTTTTTCTTTTATTGGATTGGATTAATTCCTGGAGAAGCTGGAAGTCATTCCATTCGGCCAAAGTTTTTCTTTTTTTAACTTCTTTTGGCAAGCTGGGCAATAGCCAGTTTTGCAGAATATGAAGGCACGTTATCCTGTATGAATAGACTCTTTAAAACTTAAAAAAAAAAAAAAAAGAAAAAAAAAAGCCATATGTAAAATCTTCCAATAATTCTCTGCCTTTATCTTGATACCATCATCAATTTTGGAAGGACCTATAATTTTACTGCTGACAATACTAGACAAAAATATTATTTCACCTTGGACTTTCCAAGTCATTTTGGTTGATTATTTAAATGAAGGAACCAACCTCAACCCCCAAAATCAGATTCATCCAATGTAGCTTTACATTCATCAAGAAAAAATTAATCAGTTTACATGTACTTTTTCATCTTAAATGTTGTTTCACTTTGTTATGTTTATTTAAAAAGGTGGTGATATGGTGGCTTTCATATCTTTAACCAATGTTCTTAATATTTTGCATCTTTTCTGATTCTTCAAATATTTTCTTGCTTATGACTTTTTAAATTTTTCTGAAATCTTTTTGAGTCATTCTTAAAGACAGTTTCTTTTAAAGAAAGCTACCAAGATGGACACCTGAAGTAGGCTGAATTGTACAATGGCCGAAATGTTATGAGTATAAAAACCAAGATGAACATCCTGTGTTGATTTTTTGGTTGGTTTGCTTTACGGCATATCAACCTCAATGGTTTATTTAATGCCAACAAATTTTTTATTACTGATAATATTTTTTTTCAAAATAAACTACAGTTGGTAATATCTTTTTCTAAAAATGTATTACTGGTAATAATTTTTTTTTTTTTTATACAAAGTATTCTGCTATTTTTACACTTTCATAGTGTTTTGACCCCAGTTTTGGTGTCAACTATTTTCCCATATCTGGGATCCTAACAGATGCTACCACCCCGGGTCAGGGTGGACCTGGGAACATCAGCAATTAAGAGGTGGTTCCACGTTCCACAAAACCTCCTGATCAGAGGCCTTGTTGTTGGATGTAGTCTTACCCAGGACGCACATCCTGGGTTGAATAGCAATGCATATAATAATGAGAATTACCCATCTCAAAAATCCCGACAAAGGGTATACTCTTATATATATTTACAATATAAGAAAAAATCCCATAAGTTAGGTAACAAAATCATACATATGAGCTGTTATAAATATTTTTAATAAAAACATAAGCTAAGACTCGCAGACTTTACTGCTTATCCTGAACAGTTTACCAATATCAGTTGTTTAATATCAATTATGACGACATTGAATAAAATTTGCAACAAAAGATTCTTTTTTCCATATGGTAACATCAATGAAAGAAAAAACAAAAAGCTTACAGATAGCCTCCTTGTTCTGTGTAGAAGTTGACTGAACTAATTGTGGCCACAACGACAATCATACACAAGGTAACTGGGACAAACAACATAATGACGTGTTTTGCTCCATATAACAATGTCTCTTCATCTTCTTCACTTGGGGGGTTGCTACTACGTTTCCTACGTGCTGGTGGAACTGGGAGGCTGGCTTCGGTTACTTCTGGGTTCTCAATTTCTATTTCACGTTCATTCTGTATAAAACAAAACAATCTTTCAGAAAAGCTTTCTCTGCCAGATTTCAAAAGAAAAAGAGTTACCAACCTTTCTTCAATCTTGTTCTCACCTGACAAAGATGTATTTTTAAAATTAAAAAGAAAGGTGGAAAAATTAATTTAATGCAATTTGATCATCGTCTAACACCAATGATTAAAGATCTTAGTGAATCCAGTAAGTTTACATTTGTTTGTATATCAGACGATTTATCATTAGGCCATCACTATGAAAAAATAATTTGATGGTTTTAAACTTGTTAGTGAATTTTAATAAATACAGATTTTTGTAATCTTTTCATGAAGATATCTGATGTCAATAGCGTACAGTAATACAATTTAAGAAAAAAAAATATCAAAAACAAATTTACAATCCCATGTGAAAATCCTTTTATATGGGCAGATAGCCAAGTGATTAGAATAGCATTTTGACCACGAGACATTTGGGCAAGTAATTTCTTGATAATATTGGCCTTGAAGAAGAGATGATGCCAGACTGTGGCACTATTGGGAAGTGCCTGAAAACCATACCATTGGTTGCCCCAAACCTTGTGAGTAAAATTGGGAAGTTAGAACTGTTTGGAAGCTGATGTTTGTGTCAGCATGAAGTCACAAGTCATTGTGACTGAGGCTTTGAATGTACAGGATTTGTTCAAACTGTTGATCATACCAAATTATGCACTCTCTCCCAGAATGTCTGCTCAGTATAGTTGCAACATGTGCCACAAGTTGGTTCTGAGGGTGTTTAATAAACACAAATGTGTTTGAGTAGGCATCTTCCACAAGGATTAGCTAGCCATGCTAGAAGATAGGCCTACTCTGATATAAGTGGTTAGTTATATATACAATCATATGTTTGGTTTTGGTCTACAATGACATCCAACATATTTATGATCAATGATGGAAAGAAATAAAGACCTGAAAGATAAAGTGTGAATTAATTTAAACTTAACTTAGAAAGAACAAGACCCGTTAACTCTGAAGCCAATTATAACAAGAGCAGTTAACTCTGTAACTAAGGAGAGAAAAGACATGCTGCATCTTTCTACAATATACACCTTTTCCATTTTTACCTTCTAAAATAGACAATGAAACCTTTGGATTTGATCAAAAAAGTCATTGTAACTTTCATTTTTTAAATAAAGAATTTTTATGCATTTATGGTGATAAGAGCTGTCACTTACATTGGACTGCATGAAAAGTTTATAGTGTTTTTTTTTTTTTGAAAGTGAAAACTGAATTCAAATTGTTTCCAATAGGACAGATTAAATGCAACAATTGATAAAAAGTATCAAGAACTGGTCACTTGGAAGTGTGTCATCTTTCATCAGGATAACACCAGACCTCATGTCTCTTTGCAGACCTAGCAGAAATTGATACATCTTGGCTGGGATGTCCGAAACCTGCCATACACATCTAACTATGCATTTTCGGATTATCAAATTATTTTAAACATTATAAAATTCTCTTAATGGGAAGAACAATTCTCTGGAGGCCTGTAAAAAAACACTTAGACCTTTTCATCACCCAGAAAGATGTCAAGTTCTGAGAGGATGGAATCATGAAACTGCTTCAAAGATAGAAAACAAAATGGCATATATGGAGTTGAATGTACAAATATTGTCTTTGAAATTCACTTTAACCTTTTACCTCACTAATTTCTTTCTAGAATTGTTCCCCCTGCCACTGAATTTTTTTTTTGAGGGTGCAAAAATACAAACACCTGCTGTTTTAAAATTGTTATAATTTTATTTGCATTGTGTGTATAGATTTTAATTTTCATACACTAATAAAAAGTCATTTGTAAAAATAGACAAAATAATTTAACATATAAATATCAATAGCTGTCAGTAGCTTCCATAAAATTACTCAAGTCATTGTCGCTTTCCTCCACGTCACTAGCGTGGTTATCATCTCCAACCACTTCACCATCAATATCCACTTGAGTAAAGCTTTCAAAATCATCATCAAAGTGTTAATCAAAGAAAAACTCATGATTAAAGGCTTTGTTGGATGTTGACATGGCCATTTTTGTTTGCAAAAAATTGCGAAAAAATTAACATGGGTTTAATTGATGTTACACCTCATGTAGAGTCTATCAGAATTCGAAATGGCATTAGAAAACAGAAGTTTAGCCTTGTTCCAAATCAGTAGTAGGTGATTTCCAGCTTAAAATACAAGAAATAACAGTTGACAAGTGTTTATTTATAGCAACCATCTCCGGCAACAGAAGTTGCTGCAGCGTGGTAAAGGTTAAAGCTGCCTTTAATGGGTGCAATTTGGATGAGAACTTATCTGAATTCAACATCATAATACACAATACTTTTTGCTCTTCCAATCGCAACACACACACACACAGCATTATCATCTTCAGATACAGACAAGTCTTCATTTTCTCCAGGATCTTTTTTATTCCACATTGTTAGAAACAATCCATTTTTTTTTTTTTTATTACCCACGATTGCTCTTTTAAAAAAACGATTTATTTTCATTGTTTTCAGAGAATCACAGATGGAAATGTGGACCATTAAATCTTTCTCTGTTAAATTGTGAGGTACAAAATAGTGTAGCGATTCATGTATCTAAATATTTTCAAATGACTTTGAGCACTCATACGAGAGGCATGAAATACCTCTATGACGTTATGTGACCTAGATTATTTTTAATCAGCATTTTGATTTGGTCAACATCAACAACTACTCACCTATTGAAACATTCTTAGTCTTCCAGATCAAAATTTCCACTTCTGAACCTAATGAACAATACTTTCAGCTAATGCACCATCTCTATAAATAGCATATATTATTTTTGCTGTTTGTACAGAGTTGTTTTTCATTTCCAGAAATTAAAGAACATCAAAAGACAAAAATGTGTCTTATTTTCCACCATTTTCATGTAAAATCATTTAAAATTCACAATCTACATACGAATTGCATAGAAAGATGCAATGAAACGTCACCTTTCAGAATATGTATATATCGTGTAAGTTTCAATAATGTATAAAAAGAAATGTGTTTAAATACCACCAATTGAAAAATGCTGCAAACTTTTGTTCCAACCCAATATTTGATTAACAAGACATTTTGTTTGAAGCCAGTCTATAAAATTTAAAGAGAAATGATTGTGGAATACAGAAAAAAAAGGCATATTGTCATTGCTATAAGCATTTACATCTTCGTATCTGATATGAAAAGAAAATGTTTAGTATTCTAGAATATATTCTCAAAGCCACATGATTTCATTCCAACAATCTGTTATGATTGAGAAATCATCAGTGATAAGCTAATAGAAAAAACCTGAATGTTATCTTATCTGAAGACATCAGTAACCGACATTTCATGGTTTTATATTCTTCCATCCAAATTATTACAATTAAATACAAGTTAGATCTGAGATATATTTTAAAAGTTTGTAGTTTAATTTCAGTTAACTCTTGAAAATTCAATTTGTGAGAGAGAGAGAGAGAGAAAAAAAAAACTATCAACAGCATTTACCTCGTATGCATCATGGATGTCTGGTTTTTGGGAACGCCGGTTAGCCCGCTCTGTATGTTCTGTGTCGATATAAATCTCCATGTTAGGAGTTCTCTGGGTAAGGTTAGCAGGAAAGGATGGATTAACCACTGCAGCAGGGGAGGACAGCAAACTCGTGCGTTCAGTTGGTTCTTCCTCTTCACTGGAACACTGACTCATACATAAGCTTGAATTTTTAGAATTAGAGGAACTAAAAAGAAAAGAAAAGAAAAAAATATTAAACTAAGGTTACATACAAATAAAAGAACTTACCCTCTTTTTACAAACAAGATGGCTGGAACCAGTCTATTAATAAAAGGAACCTGAACAGCTGCTTAAATCTTTGAGTCATCACAGTAATTTTTTTCAACCAATAAATTGCAGTCTCACTCCCCAAAATTGTTGTGGGTTTGTATTTTGAAACAAATTTAATATTTACCTTGGCTTAATTTAACTTAATTGTGTTCCAAATGACTAAATAAATGTTACTATGTGAAATTGTTAAAGAGTAAGATTTATTCTGACCAATGACTGATAGAAAAATGACAAATACATAACCCAAGAAATAATGACAGATCAGCTTAAAAAAAAAACAAAAAAAAAACATAACTGTATTTCATAATTTTCCACATTATGCATTAGATTATTGTATTAAGTTATTTCCTATCCACCATTTTCTAAAAATGCTCAGTTTTGTGTTTGAAATGTAAATTCTTTAGAAATTGTTTTGGATATGAAACTGAGCAGACATGAATTTCAGGAAAATCTGAACAAGTCAGTGTGCTTTAAAGGCAAAATAGAGCCTTGCTTTATTGTGAAGCTCTTCATAGCTGAGTGCTGAAAGCACATCAGATCAGACAGTGGTTTCTTCTGTAAAGGAGGATACAGGTTCCAATCCTGCCTGTAAGTATATTATTTTTTATTAAGTTTTCATAGTATGCAAACCAGTAGACAATACCATTTAAAATAGATGAAGTGTTTACTTAAATATGGCTATGCCCTAAAAATAATGTTTGAAATAATAAAAAAATATCAGATTAAAAATAAAAAATCCATTCACATTTCATATAATATATATATATATATATATATATATATATATATATATATATATATATATATATATATATATATATATATATCTAAGTTGGTTTCAATGTATGAGGTTCCAAATAACTTCATTCATTTTTTGTTTTTGTCATATGTGACATTTCAGTCCCACATATTGTGCAACAGCAAGGATCTGGGGACACAGCAACAGTAACATTTGCTGATGCTTTTTTCACCATTGTCTTTTCGTCTCTTAACAGGTCAATATGACTGATTTTGAAATTTCTGATACTATGGCAAAAGTATCTCCAGTTAATTTTATCCAGGGCAACTTGCTTGATCAAAGTTAGTATGAGTCACATTGACACCTGAGAGGTTTCTCTTTAGCTTGTTTTAATATTAGAGTGACAGTGTCCAACATTTCTTTGTCCACTGTCAAGATGGCTATACATGGGGACCGTAAGTATTCTATCGTCACTCATCCTTGTAACATGACCAGCCCAGTGAATGTGTGACTGTATCAGGAAAGTTTCAATTTCACTAATGTTGCATTTTGTGAGAAGATCGGCCTTGGACACCCTATTGTCAAAAGTATAGCCACAGATTGCACAGAGACAACTTTTGTGGAAGACATCTATCCAGCTGATGAATATAAGAACTATATGGGGTTCATGATTCTGAATCATACAATAGTGCAGTCAAAATGTCTGCTCTATAAACCAATATTTAAAAAATAAAAATATGGGTTATATGACAATAAATTAATAAAAGTTCAATGAATTTGTAAATGGAAAAATTTGATGTTAGACATTGCACCGTTCTTCAGACTAAATGATGTTTTTATCGACAGAATCATATGTAGTGGGAAGGAACAAAATACAACAAACATTTGGTTATAATTCTACATTAAGAAAAATGCTGAAAATGTGGAGACACTTAACTTTACATTTGAATTTTCTGACATCCAATGTTGCAATAGGAGTAATTTTTGTTAAAGCTGATAAGCTGTATGACCTAGGATATATTTTTACTATGGAAGACTCTGAAACCAGTGCACTTTCAATACATTTTTGCTTTAATAAATTACTTCTCCTTTTAATTAAAACTCCATTTCTGTCTGATAACTGAGCAGTACTAAAAAAAAAGAACTAGACAAGATATCCCTAGATGTGGACAATGGAACGAGGACACTACCCCCATAGATTAGATAAAGGATTCAGTTTAGAATTCTCTGTAGGTTACACAAATCAATATGCATCTGATGAAGGATGGAAAGCACAACGGCTGAAATATTTTCATGATAACAACAAAGATGAGGACCAATAGCCCAAATGTAAAGTACAAATAATAAAACTGCATTTAAAAGTAAAAATTATGGTCAGACTTATTACACTGAATGACTAAGGCATTGAATGTGCTGTTTTGTGAAAGATCCCTTTTGTGTTCATAGATTCTTTTATTTAAATTCCAAGATGTGTCATCAATGAATTTCTTATATTTTTTATAGTCTATAGCATAAATTTCAGATTCAGGTTATTATTTTGTTTTGTTTGTATTAATTAAATCTCATTGTTTTTATAGTTGTAATAAATTTTAGATAAAATTGTTTTTGGAAGGACAAAATGCATAACATGCATTTTTTTTTTTCCATTTTGTCATTCACTCCCCCAGTATTAACCTGATAAATAACATGTTCTCCCATTATATATATATATATATAAAAGAAAGAGATTAAGCTATGAAAATAGCTTAATTATAAAAAATTATGTGTGTAAACAGTTTACCTAAGTGACATGTATCAAGGTATTCTTAAGAGAAAATGGAAAAAAAAAAATCCTTGATAATGGATAACATTAGTTGAAAGCACTTGGATCTACAGATCATTTGCAGTTTATTTTTTATTTTATTTTTTTTTTTTTTTTACACACCTTATATCCAGAAAAGAAATCACTTGCATGAATGCGAAAAAAATTTTATGAAAAGTTTAATTACAGTATTTTGTCAGTTGTCTTCAATGAAATTGTGTGTGTGTGTATATATATATATATATATATATATATATATATATATATATATATATATATATATATATATACACACACATACACACACACACACACACACACGAGAGAGAGAATTCATATAACCATGGCAACAACAGTGGTGTCCCCAATAAAACTCTCATGAGATGATGACCCTTGGTTCAGGAAGGGTTTCAGGGTCACCATATCATTACAAAGGAAAGAACGGTAACCTCATGATACCACCAAACTCTGCAGGTGGTATCATGAGGTTACATTGTGATTTTACCAGATGCAATCTCTGTGCCAATCTTCATATTAACTGGAGATCATTCATATATAAAGTTTTATTTTAACTTACAAAGCACTGCAATTAAGCAAAGAAAACACTTGTACAAACACAAGAAAAATTAAATAAAAAGGCTTAATTGCAGTGCCTTGTCAGTCGTCAAACAAAACTAGTATAAAAGAGAGATTGCTGCCTAAATACACACACACACACAATATACACAAATTTCAGATAGAGTATATCTGTAAAAGGATAATATGAATAAAGACAAAAGGAAAACTTTTCTTAGTCAACACATCTTGACCTCCTCTGAGGGACTATCGAAGCAAATGTAAGGATTTTATTTTGTGACAAGTACTTATATACAAGAGCAAAAATGTTCTGAAAAACCAACATTGTATATAATATTTGTCATAAAATAAAACCCTTACATTTGCCTTGATAAAGTCCCTCAGAGGACGAAATGTGTTGGCTAACATAAGTTTCCCTTTCTGTCATATATATATATATATATATATATATATATATATCCATCCATCCATGAGGGTAAGCTGAAAAGTTTTTGACCTGGCCAAGAAAATTGTTTATTTAGATTTGGGGTCAGGATGAGAACATTTTGGCAACTCCCTGAGTCTGTGTGTGTGTGTGTACACATATTTGAAAGTTTTAGGATAAGTGTTTAGTATAAAAATCATCTAATTAAGTTTTCTCTTTTTTTTTTTCATACACTTTCAACATGGTTGTTATCAATAATATTTCTTTCTCCTGTTTATAGACTTTTATATCAGGTGACAATATCAGTAAGTGGTTAAATTAAGCCTATCTTAGAAAAAAGTCAGGGATACAAAATAAATATTGTCTCTTCTCTCCAATAAAAAGAAAAGAAAAAAAATGGATATTCAAACAATTGTATTTAATGTATTTGATAATTCATAAGAGCAAATACAAATAGATTTTTTCTAAATATATATAATAAAGATTTTCTATCCCTCTTTCATAGTTTGAGAAAGAGAAAGAGAGAGAAAACAAACCTGCTTACCAAGATTAAATGTCAAATCAAGGAACAATACAAAAGCAACAGATTTTCTGGGCTACATAAAATGTGATGAAGAAAATAGCTGGAAAAACAAAACAAAAATCCTTAAAATGCGATTATGTTGTTTTAATATGAATGAAATGCCGACATCTGACGTTTCGGTTTAATAACCTTCATCAGGACAATATTCATTAAAAATACAATTAACATAATCAATATAACACGACGAAAACGATGGCCATAAAAACAAGTCTTATCCAAAACAGATAAATGAAAATTTTAAATGATCAGCTTTCCGTTTGAGCATGATTTTCATTTCATATTGTCCTGAAGAAGGTTATTAAACCGAAATGTCAGACGTCGACATTTCATTCATATTAAAACAACATAATCGCATTTTAAGGATTTTTGTTTTGTTTTTCCAGATATTTTCTTCATTCTGTCGGATTTATATCCATTTATATTTGCTTATCATAAAATGTGATGTAAATCATTATGTCATGTTCTTTTATTGGCTGGAGATTATGCAAATGAAACCATTATATTTTAAGAAACTATTGTAAACTAATAAATAAACTTACTTCATAGTTTTCAATGGTATATCATCCATAGGTAAAGCTGGTTCAAGTCTCCACCAGTCAACTGACCAGCTAAAGGAGAAATACAAAGCTAAAATAATGCCTGATTAGCAACTAAACACGCAAGTTTAGGTTAAAAGATTTTAAAATTAAACTTGCACGTGACCATGCCTTGCTAATCCAGGCAGCAGTAGTTGTAAGTTTAAAAGAGGTAATAGCAACATGATAGATGGCTGT